TCCCTCCCTCCCTCCCTCCTTTCCCCTTCTTTCTCTTCCCACTCCTTCCCTCCCTCCCTCATCTCCCTCCTTCCCTCCCTACCTTCTCCCCATCAACTCCCCTCCCCCTTCCATGCCCTTGCCACCCCTCCGCCTGCCCCTTCGCCCACGGCTCCTGTCACCCTTCCATGCCCTTCTCCCTCTCACGGCCTCTCTCGGGGCCCGCCATCCGTGACTCTTTCTCTAGCTCGTCCTCTCCCGCCTCAACTTTTTAAGGTATTAAAGGCCATGCCACGAAAAGCTAGCTACATTGCCTAGTAAATTAATGTAAAACCATTGAAGAAAAGGATAATAACAGTTGAAAAAATGAAATGTGAAAGAAACAAGCGGCCAGTAGGACGAAAGAGATGAAGTGGAAGAGAGGTGGCCGCGTGCTGAAGGGAAGGTTGCTTGGGAAGGAGTCGAGGGAAGTTCGTTGCTCCTTTGGGATGTAGGCGAGGACGCTCTGCCGCGCCTTCGCGGGGCCCGGTGCCCTTGCGCGCTTTTCTGTCTGTTGTAGGCCTTGCCTCTGCTGGCTCTAGCTCTCGGAGTCTCTGTGGCTCCTCGTGCCTTATTTCTGCTCTCTCTCTCTCTCTCTACCTTGCCTCACTCTGTACTACCATCTCTCCCTTCCTCTCTGTCCCCTCCTCCATCTCCCTTTCTCGCTCTCACCTTATTAGATAATTCCTGTGACCTTATTTCATTATCAGTTTGTTTTTCAGTGCAAAGTCATCCGGATGTCTCCTGTGACCTACTAAGCATTTGTGATAAAAAACAACATAAAATAGGGTCCTGCGAACAGTCATGTGCATCCTGGAAAATTCGTGCCCGTTCTGTTAGCCTTCATTATAATTTCTTATCAATAAGCACTTATTAATAAATTTCATAGATATGCAGTTATTTAGGTAATGTCAGCAGAAGCAACACTGTTTACCGGAAATCAGATACTGATTTGGGTTTCCCGACAAAATGATGTTTGTTTTGGTGACCCAGTGTAGACCTTCTTTCTCTTACGCAGATGTTTGTACATATCTATCTTTCTTTCTATATCTTCCAATATATCTCTATATATTATTCATATATATATATGTGTATATATATATATATATATATATATATATATATATATATATATATATATATATGTGTGTGTGTGTGTGTGTGTGTGTGTGTGTGTGTGTGTGTGTGTGTGTGTTTGTGTGTGTATTTAAATACATGCATGAACCATGAATACATGTAAAAAGCATAAGTGAATAAATGCTTGTTACATAGTTTATCACTTATGTCTGACGTATTTATTTTACTTTCGTACTTGCTGTCACTCCTCCACCATGAACAATTAGAGCCAGTATGACAGTTCTTCGGCATCCTATTGTGACTAAGCTTCGGGAAGTCTCATTCTGCTAGTAAACTGTTTTCCTAGTAAATATTATATGAATCATTGTTTTTGTAATAATGCTAATATTGTTTTCTTTGTATTTGTTTTGCAGAGTTGGCTTGGTTGCGGCGCGAGGAAGGAATGGCAAGAGAAGGAATGAAAAGAAGTTGGAATTAAGGAAAGGAGAAAAAAAAATATAAGGAATCTATACAATAAAAAGAACGGAAACATAAATTAAATACCAGCAGAACATAAGCGATATTGGACAACGTTCGTTTTCGTCCACGAAGCCCAGATGGGACGATGGAGAGAACAGCGATAACTTAATGAGAAAAAAATATCGCCGTGTGACTGGAACCCCAGCGGTATAACGGAGATCTGAACAAGCAGTTTCGCATTTCAAACTCTCAACTCTCGTCTCCGTCGTAAGAGTAAATGGGTGCCTCGATACCTTGAGTAATTACAAAGAAATACAATGAGTCACCTTTAGTGACGTGTACTACGGGGCTTTGAGACAAACGGAGAGCGAGCGGGACGGGAGCGCTGAATTTGAGGGAAGCCACCATTCGCCAGACGACAGCCGTATCGAAAAGGTGCCGCGCCATTTGGGTTTACACGAGCCTTCTTGATAAAGGTGTACAATACAGGCATGGGAAGATAAAGAGCTTACAACGTATATACATATATACTGAGGGGGAAAGAGCGAATCAGCACTGGAAGGAAACCGAGAATATCCCCACGCATCTCTACATCAGCTGACTCGATTGTCGGATCGCGAATCAGCTCGCGGGGTAGCATTACTCGTGTCGCCCGCCCGCTGTAATGCAACGCCTGTGACAGGAACGCCCACCCCCAACGCCCAACACACCAAGTCCAGCACCGTGAGATCTCAGACGCCAATATCCATAGTCTAAGTGCGTGAATCCTGTAGCGACAAGGATACGTGAAGAAAAGGGTGATAGAAATAGAGGAGATAAGGGAAGCCAAACTACGGGATCGGGGTAGGCCAAACGAGATTATCCAGCCAGTGATTTGGTCAGAGTTGTACTGCTGCTGCCCTCATTCTTCCTGCGAAGCGACGCACGGCCTGGTGGAGACGGCGGCGGCGGGGGGGCGAGAGAGGGAGAGCGAGAACTGCCACCCAGCGATGCGGGCTAATCTCATGATTGGTGGAACAAGGGCATCCCGGATCGCGCCGTAAGGACTTTAGATTCCCTTAAGGAACTGCTTCTCTCTGCCACTCCTTCAACTAGCATTGTTCTTTCTCTTCAGATAAGAGAGATACAAACTGATAAGCAGAAATGTTCTTCCCCGCCTGACAGAGAAACGAGTGTTGTCCCGGAACCAAGTTGATTAGTAAATTAATTTCTGTTTCCTATTTTCGTTAAGGAAGAACGAGCTGCATAAGCTCCAGCAACTATTGTTTGCCTTGTAACTCTCAGAGCTTTAATGTTTTATTTGGTAGTGTGAATATTTTTCATCGTTGCATTTATGCTAGTCTGCTTTTATTTAGAGAAAGATATATATGTATATATTATATATGAAGTATATCTAGGAATTAATATATAAACACGTATATTTAAAAGTATGTCATAACTGATACAAGTAAACCGTCTTTGTGCATTACTTTCTTGTGGAGCGAGAAAATGAAAATGTCTGTGGCAAACGGAAAAGGAAAGAAAATATAGGCAATAGTTTCTTAGGCGTCAAGAGCACTCAGTGACCGGGAGGCGCGTTCAGTGCCAAGCGCCTCTTTACTCAAGACTGTTTACTACCCACCCCCTCCTCCCCACCCACCACACACAAACACACACCTCGGGACTACCATTTCGAAGTCCTGCCAGTCAGCAAACCAAGGACTTCTGCCAACGCGCGAGGCACAGTGCCAACACTACTAAGAGCAGTGCCAGGCTGATAAAGGGCAGCGTCATCATTGCAGTCAACTGAGGTCATTTGCCCAGACCTTATGAGCGATTGCTACTAGCGCTATCAAGACGGCAGCGAGTATCAAGAAGGGTCTCGACAGCGCCTTCACCATGAAGGGCGGGGCGGGGCAAGGGCGGTTGGTCCTGCTACTCATGCTGCTGCTGTTCGCGCTGACACAGGTAAGGCCGCTGTCACGCTTCTGCTGTTTGTCGTAGAGGATGTTTTATGATACATAGAGAGTGTATATTTTTTATTGTCGTCAGTAGTATTACCAGGATATCCATCATGTCATCATCATCGCCGTCTCTCTCTATGGTATTACAATAAATTATTTATTTACTATGTAAACAGTCCTATTTTTATCTGCACGTCAGATTATGCCTAACAATACACCTGGCATCCCGTCCGCCGTTCATTATGAATGGCAAAATTTTGGCACTGTTCTACGGTGTGCCACATGTTTAACATTTTTCTCTTGCACTGAACATGATATATAAATATCCGGTACCCTTTTTTGGTTCTGTTTGTATATTTACATTTTCTCTTTTGTTGTTGCGGCAAGTGTCCAAGTATCAGCAGTTTTGTTGCATAAATATTTGCATTGATCACTATGTCTAAGTAAGGTATTTGATTCATTAATTCTCATAATCAGAAATAATTAAATAATTCATGACTCTTCATAAGTTACGTATTCTATGTTTGCCAACATCTTCAAAGTAAGAAATGTCACGTGACGCAACGGCTCACATTCCTGGTCCAAGGAAACCAACCGATAAGGATTTCGTGTTTTTTTTACCTCTTACAACGGCGGCCGACGTTGGCCGTGCATTCATCTTTTGTAGCTTGCTTTCCCTCTCCTTGCATATCTTCTCACTCTCCTTTCTATTCTCCATCTATCTTTCCCGTCCCTCTTCGTTTTCTTCTTCCCCATGCCTTCTATCCTTCCCTAATTCATTTTTCCTCCTGCCTCTCATAACTTGTACAGTACATTTGTACGACTTAAGTTGGGCTTCCCTGCCTCCCCTCCGCCTCTCTAGCCCTGCCCTCCCTCCCCCTTCCTTCCCAACAGCAACACAGACTTTTTCGGTGCTTTCTTTTCCTTGTCATCTCTTCCGACATTCCTTGTGCGCGAGATAACTGGGGCCGCTCTCTTCATTCTTTCCCTCGCACGTGTTTGCCGCCGTGGTTGTCGTGCGCGTCGAACTTACCTGTGTCGTCACGACATTTCTCTTTCTCTTTCTGGTTATCGTATCAAGTAGACCATTTCACACCTGCCTTGGAGAATAAAAATTTAACATTATAGCGGTTTAAAGTTTTAAAAGTTTACGATTTACGACTTGCAGATGTGACAGTTAGTGCAGAGGAAGAATAAATGAATCGTACGTCAGGCAGAGACGTGAACCAAGCGTGTATCCCAAGAATTCATACAAAAAATAGGAATGCGTGGATTCTCTCGTGCCAGAGTTAAGCCGACTAACATGAGGAAGTTATAGGAAGGAGGAATGGCGAGGCACAGAATGGAGAGATGGATTATGAGACAGGTCGTAGGGTGTGCGGGGTGGCATGATAAAGCGAGGCAAGACTACTTATAAAAACACGTGGTTTGCACAGACACTTTATAACACCAGAATACTAATGAAAATGAAAAGGTAACTTTAGGGACAGTTTGAAAGGACAT